TAGAACATCTGTTTCTGTTTTGGTGAGTTCTCTGTTGGAAACGTTGTGCACTAATTGTTTCAGGTGTTGTTGTGAGTTGTTGGGGGTTTTCTTGTCATGTTCTAATTTCTTTAATTTTTTCAATAATTTTTCCTGTTTGTAAATACCTTCAGAATCAGCTCTCCAAGTTGTAAGTTGTTTTATCTTGTCCCAAAGTAGAGGGTGGATTTTGCTGCTCAGTTCCAGGTGTAGTGCTAGCAAATCTTTGTTTAACTGATCTAATCGGAATCTCTTACTGTGGAGCTCGTTCCGTAGTAAAGCCATTTCAGTTCTTTTCAGGATACGTTTAGTGGCTGCTGTGCTTTGATGAAATGTTAATTTGAAGCAGGTTGGTGTAGTATTGTTGTCTCTGCAGCTGCGTAGGAATTGGAGGTCACATAGTATTCCTGCTCTTTTAATTTCCAGTTTCTCGTAGGTTTTATATATATATATATATATATAATGTTTATAAGTTTTAAGTTTCAAAGTCTATGCTAAAAATACCATAATATATATATATATACCGTTTTATATATTTAAAATATATATTATTTAAAATACCAGTTTCTTAAACAATCAATTTATTATCTTATAAGCTTTCATGGGCTAAATGCATGAAGTTTAATACTAAATAAGAATTTAGCCATGTTTGACACATGAAATTGAAAACACAGAACTCAAGCAGAATGAAATGTGTAAACAGCAGCTATTACATAGAAATATTGGATTTGTGCAGCTTAGATAGGTGATAGCTAAAGGTGATTCAAAAGTTATCTTCAAATATTTAAGCATTTGTCACAACCATGACTGCTTTACACTTCTTCCAGACCACAGGATTAGAATTATAATTAATCAGTCCAGCATTCAAGGTGCAAGAAAACTGTTACTTCTGGAAGAAATTATTGGAAAAGATTATGATCTTTAAGAAAGGGCATACAGAGAACTGGATGAATTATAGTTTATAGCTTCTAGTCATGGTACTCTGTTTGGATGGCAACATTTTAATTGGATGAAGCAGTGGAAGAAGTCTACATTTTTTCTAAGCTAACGAGGAAGGTAACAGAAGAATAAAGGCACATTATCAAAGAAACTGAGATATTATCTGCAGTAGGAATAAATTATCTTCACCTAAATCAAGATGTCAAATTATATTTCGGGAGAAAGTGTTGCCCCTAATTAAGTCCCACCACCCAATGATCTTCCCAAGAATAGTGGGAAGTATTATGCTAAACATAATTGTATAGAAAAGGACAGAGTTTTATATAAGTAAATGGCAATGAGCTGGACAAGCAAACATTTTACAATCTTAAACTAATGTAGAGGAAACATTGGACATACTGTTTCTTAGAACAGTTATGACATAGATTCACATTACATAATTTCTTCTTAGTGGTTTAAAATATATTCATAGACATCATTCAAGAATCAGGTTTATTTAGAAGCTATTCAGTACATTTATTTTGCAGAGCAATCTAAGAAAATTTGATTGGACTTCTGTGCATAAAGAAAATGCCTGCTCAATTCTTAAATTTCATGAGAGCTAATACTTGTATAGATACTATAGACTAAATCTGATTAAATATTATTTGCCAAAATACCAACTCCGTTAAAAAAAGGAAAGAAAAGAAAAGATGTTAACAAAAGCTGGTCATGGGCATCTTGGAAAAGAGAAAATTAAGTATTTTCTTTTTTTAATTGTTTGTTCTATCTTATTCATGGAAGAAGAACTTGATTCAAAAGATTCTGGATGTAAAGGCTGGAATTCACCATACCATTCATTAATTTCACCCACGTACCCATCTATTCCCCCTTATTTAACTATAAAATGCCTCAGAAGATTATGAATTCTACTTCATGACTACTTCTAAGGATACTATATAGAATTGTGCAAGACAGTTAAATTATCCCATGCTGTTTTCTATTAACTTTTATTTAATTTAATGGAAGAGGTGTATTTGTTTTTTTTCCTTAGAAATTATTTCAAAGAGAAAAGGATTTTAATAGATGTAGCTTTGAGCAATGTATCTTCTCCAAAGTTGCTATGGAAAAAAAATTCAAAGCAAGGTTTCAAAACAAAATACAGAAATAACAGTGATGTTTCACTACAATCAACAAAATGGCTTTAAATTAGAATTACAGGGTGAATAGCCTGTCCACTGAACTGTGGTATCTTTGTTCTGTTAAAAGGAATTACCCAGAACTATACAGGAAGACTTTGCATATACTGTATATGTAGCTGTATTTGTATCACGCACCTGCTTTTTATGATTTAAATGTATGCATTTTACCATAAGGAAATATCCCTTCTTTTCCCTTAAATCCTTTGTTACATGTGCCACATTCTGGAACTATAAATAAACAAGCCTTGATCTTCTTCTTTGTGATACCCTTCAAATACTGAGAAAGTGGCACCATATTTTCCACCTGTCATCTTTTCTTAAGTTTAGACTTAAGTTTAGTTCCCTCAAGAGAATTAATTTTCAGATCAGCCTTGTTGTATGAACACACTCTACACTGGCACTAGGCCTATTTTCATTCCACTGTTTTGATCTCTTCATTTCAAAGTTATCAAAATTTAAGAAGGTATTTAAATGTATGAATATCTGGAAGTACAATTATCTGTAAAATTTACATAATAAAAATGTGGCAGCCATTTTGCTCTCAAGTGTTTATAGATGTTGCAACTTCGTATAACCAATTTAGATTAAAGGGATCTGTAATAGCGTTCTGCAGAAAAAAATCTTATTTTTATTATCCAGTTGTCACTCGGGTTTCTATTTTTTATTTCAGATTGAAATAATAGATGCTCAGGTACACATTGCTGGAAATATACATAACAAAACATAATGGCACCACAGTAGCATTCTGTGCCTCCTTTAACAATAACATATGCTCAAAACCTCTTTTGACCAAAATTAAAAAGAAATTCTCAAGCACCTTTAAAATAAAGTAGAAAAACAAGATTTTTTTTCACATTAAAAGAAAACTTGTGAGCAACTGCAAAGCAATGTTTCACCATTAATCTGAAAGTTGATGTTCCATTGGCATCTTTCCAGCATATTTATATGTTCCATCCCCCAGAGATTTTAAAGGTTAGCGGGAGGGTAATAATGCTAAATTATTTGGGGGACGGTTGATAGTAGATGTGTGGCAACCCTCCGTTAAACAATCTTATGATTTGGGCAGGGTATTAATACAATAGGGAAAATAGAGGAATATATAAATAAATATGCCATTTGATTTCTAAGGACATCTACTTGCACTCAGATTTGCTCAGTTTGAGATGGTCACAATGGCTGTTTTGATTAGGATGGATTTTGCCTGGTTTTTTTTTTTTTTTTTTTGTAACATCTTTTGTATTGGTACAAGTTTTTTTAGCTGGAATTTGGTTCAAACAGAAAAGTGATTCGTAGATATTTTAAGAAATTGATTTGGTCCACAACCTAATGACAGGCCAGAGAGTTTTATTTGCTCATTTTATTCTTCCAAGGCTTGGGTGATAAAAAATGTATCATGGCTGCTTCTCCTTACCATCCTTTAATTCCACAGATGATTGAAACTTTTAGTTAAACCAATGCAAAATTTAATGTAGAACAGTAATGGCACGATAGTGTTAGACCTGTCCATACTGGGGGGGGGGGGACACTATGGTTTTCCTCTCCGAAGGATTTAAATCTCGACAACCATCATTCTGCATTAAAATAAGCCATCAGTTTTTTCAGGGGTGGGATTCAAATTTTTTAACAACCGGTTCTGTGGATGTGGCTTAGTTGGTGGGCGTGGCTTGATGGTCATGTGACTGGGTGGACATGGCTTGATGGTCATGTTATTGGCTGGGCATGGCCAACTCAATATCACTCACATTGAGGCATGCATCTCCTTGCCTGGCCTTTCATGACTGTGGGGATGCTGCAACAGTCGTAAGTGTGAAAAATGGTCATAAGTCACTTTTTTCAGTGCCATTGTAACTTTGAATGGTCATTCCACACAAGCAAAGTACCAGCAAAGGAGGGGGAAAAAACTCCAGAGACGTTCCTGAGACAGGAAGTCTAGTCCTGTCAATAATGTAATAAGGGTTAACGAAGAGGCAGTTTCTGTAAGCAACCCCAGAATGTTTCCTTCCTGCCTTCCTTACAGGATTAGGCCAGTAATTTCTTCTAGCAACCGATTCTCTGAACTGCTTAGAATGTTAACAACCGGTTCTAGTGAATAGGTGTGAACTGGTAGAATACCACCCCTGAGTTTTTTGCTCATTAGTGACACAACCTGCCAGATGAGGCAGATTGCTTTTCCTGCTCTTTTTCTAAATCATTGAAGAAAGTAAGACTAAATAATGCACTAGATCTGCATAAAGCGTTTGAAAGAGGAAATAATAAAAGCTATCCTGTAAGACAAATGCTAATTGCTGTGGACCTCAGAACATTGTCATGTTGATTGGAAAGTGAGAGAAGTTCATAAATGAAATGTAATAAAGAAGTGCAAAGCATTTAGCCAGGAGGAAATGACCAGTTGGATGCTGATTGAATCAGCCTTAGGTCATATTATATGTTGTATCCTCATTAACGCTCTAGGAGAAAAAGCAAATAAATAGCATTTTAAATTATGTACATGAAGATGAGTTAGAGGAAACTAGTTAAGGAAAAAGATAAAGAATGGCAGTAATTTGATCTGCAGAGAACAGTGAATTTCAGCTTAAGAAAAAAGCAAGCCTATATGAAAGCAGAGGAGGAACTGCAAAAAAAAATCTATGGGATAAAAGTAACCCCCTCAAAAAATCAAAATATTTAATTCGCATCAGACGTCTGGAAGAATGGTTTAATCTAGAATCCAAAGGAAAGGAAGATGTAGTACTGTGTAGCCAATTACTACTCCTTATATAACAACATATAACAATGTTACAGCCAATGGGTACAATTGCAACTATACATTTTAACTGATTGATTTTTCAATCATCAGTGCTTTGTGAAGCAAGGATTAAAGACAGTTGCATTATTTTAGTTTTGAAGATGTGTTGTGTAGGTGTTAGCAGTACTGTTCTCACTAGATATTCATTGAACAGTAGCACAACCCCAAGATAAGGATAAGGATAAGCATTTCACTTGCACGGTGCCATGCACTTCCATCGGCTGTCCTGTACAGCAAGTATGAAAAGATACCATTGACTGAAAGACTCTGTTCCTGTGGCTCAGGAGAGGTGGAGACCATTGGTCACATACTCCTTCGATGTTCCTTTTACAGAGATATTTTTTAAAAAACATATCATTCCAATAATTGCTAGGTATCCTGGTCAATCCGACACTGTTTATTCCCAGGGGCTGCTTAAGGATGAACAGTCCATAACTACAACACAGGTGGCTAGATTCTGTGCAGAAGCACTGGGGATTTGTCAGAAATATGTGTCTAATCCACCATAGCTATTTTATACAACAAATGTGGCAAATCTTTTGCACTGCTTGTTCCTTTGCATTTTAGTATTAAACTGACTATGGGCCTCACAGTTTATGGATTGTTATTTTAGTATAATTAGACCATCTGTAATTGACACACTGGATTTTATCAAAGATTTTATCTGTTATTTATTATTTTATTATAGATTTTAATTGGATATTCACTGAGTGTTTTTATTTGTTCTGGTCTCTGGTTTATGACTGTAATAAACTGGAAAAAATTAGTTTTGAAGAATAATCATGAACAGAAAATTTTATATGGAACTCTAACCATCTATCCTGATTTTACAATTAAAATTTGCCAGTAAGTGGCATAACTGGCTTAATGGTAGAGATATTGGTGGCAGGGTATAAGCAACGGTCATATTCAAGGGATGGTCTAAAAGAAGAGGCCTTGAGTGGGTCTGTCATTGCTAGCACACAATCTGAGATATATGAGGATACTCAGAAGATCAGGCTTGCAGTTGCAGGTAACACCAAAGAAAGTCAGAAATCAGATTTATCTCTCATGAGTGTAGCATTTCCAAGATGCTGCCTAAAGAATCTGAATAGTGGAGGAGAGCAGATCACGAACATCTCTAGTGATAAAGAACAATCATAATAATTCGGTAAAAATTGTATGCTGCCTTCATCTCTATCCATGGCTCTGGGTGGTTAACAACACTCAAAGAATTTGAGTGTAAAATCAGTACAAAATTTAAAAAAGAAGAAGAAGATTTCACAATGAAAGCAGTACAAGAAGCAATGGATGAAGCAACTTAGAAGTAAGGAGAAATTTCCCTACAGTTAGAACAATTAATCAGTGGAACGACTTGCCTCCAGAAACTGAAGGTTTTTAAGAAGAGACTGGACAACCATTTGTCTGAAATAGTAAAGGGTTTTCTGCTGGAAGTTGGACTAGAACAGGGGTAGGGTCTTTTCCAACTCTAGTATTCTTCTATTATTCCATTTCATTCCTCCTTGCTGAAGGCCTGGATGAAGAGTCAAATCTGCATAGCTCTTGCAAACAACAACAGAGTAGGAGCCGCCTGAGGGGAACTTCATTCCAGAGAGCAGGTGCTGTTACAGAAAATCCTCGCTTCTGGGATCCCAAAAGATGAGACAGTTTAAGTGTACTTAAGTGTTTGACTGTAACCTAGAGTGTACCAATCCTGCAGGATCAAATATGCCAGGCAGATGTTATAGTCCTTCAAGCAAACAGACCCTATGCCATGAACAGCTTTAACAGAAGCACAACAGAGAGACTCTTCATGTTTAAGCCATGGGCAACTTCTTTGTAATTAGCATTTTCTTTACTATTATCTGATTATGTAATTTAGTTTATGGCATTTTGATATGGTCGTGTAGATTAGTTTTCCCTGACAGCAAACAGGTAGAGTGGAATACTACTCTTTCATATCTATATACTATTGCCCTGGTCTATTATAATTGGAGAAAGCTGCTGTCACAAGCTATAGAGTTTCTTCCATTTTGTTGTATGTTTGGAAGAGACAGAGTTAGAAAATTAAATAGCAGGACAAACAGGAATAACAGAAAACAAAATGAAAGGTTAGGGAAAGCAGTGCAATGTAAACTGAAAAGAAAATCTAGACAAAAATCACTAGTTGTAGCCTAAGAGTTAAACAATTAAAAGGGTAAGGGAAGTTTTTCTGTTTTCTTGAGTTTTAAAGTATCAGCCCATATAATGGATATTATTTTCCTAATTGCTTGCCTTAGAAGTTATAGTTCAGCTTCAGTTACTACAATTTTAATCAGCTGTTAGTGAAATATCTACTGACTTAGAGAATCCAAAAATATTAAATATAGTTGGTCTTCATATTTCATCATATGGTAGCTTTATAAGGTTCATTGTGTTAAAGATTCTGCAATGTATTTGTATCAGTCTGCTTAAAGTGGAAGAATGGTAGAAGGAACTGCTACTAAGATATAAGCATTATTTGGCTGCTTTTAAGATATTGACATAAAGGATTTTAAGGATTTTGACATAAAGGACTGATTTATGCCAGAGTCTCAAACAATGATTGAGGAGATCAAATATATACAGTAGGATGCACATACAAAAAAAGGAGAGGACTGATCATGGCATATCCAGCTCTGACTTTGAAATCAAAGAGAGTTAATATATACAGTCTATATTCTACATCCAATCCCATATACAAGGGATGTCAAACTCATAGCCTGCGGGACAGATGCGTCATGCACTGGCCACGCACACACCCAGTTTAGCAAGGGGGGGGAAGTCACAATACATCACATGATGACACCATGACAACATGAGTTTGACATCCCTGCCATATACACTTCCAACATTCAGTTCAGATTTGAACTGGATATCATACATGCAAGCAGTCATCTATACATCACAGTGCTTTGCTTTTCAGCCATGCTAGCTTCTGATAAAAATACCATTTTGGAAGTTATCAATTATAAGCTGTTCTTGCTATTTTGCTTTCCTGCAAATCAAAGCAAACTTTCCTTTGGTTTATTTCACCCATGTTCTTCATCACACCTCCATTTTAAAGCACAAGCTGTTTAGTTGAGAATTTTCTGAATTTTCTTCAGCCTGAGAATTCCAGGTATCACTCATTGAAAAATATAACAACTCTCCTCAAAACACATACCTCATTCTCTCCCACAGACTTGGGCTTAAGGAGCAGAAAGTTTCTAAGTCTCAATAATATCCAAGTATCAAGTGCAGCTGACTTGTCATGGAGAATTTGAAAGAGCTGGCAATATTGTACACTGCAGGTTTGTGATTTACTGAGATACAGTTGTCGGGCTGACAATGACTGGTATGGAAGTTGGAAATGGCAGACAGGTAATTCTTCGAGGAATCTTATAGCCATTTGCCGGTACCTTGGCTCAAAGAAAAAGAGGTAACGGAAAGCAGGAGAGATGGCCCTTTATATACAGGGGTCTCCAAACTTGGCCACTTTAAGCCTGGAGGACTTCAACTCCCAGAATTCTGGGAGTTGAAGTCCTCCAGGCTTAAAGTGGCCAAGGTTGGAGACCCTTGCTTTATAAGACACTTTCTAATTGGCCATCAAGATGATGGAAGGCAGAAATGAGAGGTGAAAGTATGAGCCCCTCAAGGATATTTTTTAACAATTTTTCTGTGCTCAACATTTTATATATATGCTTGAATATTTGCCAGAGTAATCCCTAGTTAAATCTCATTCTGTCTCATCCTGAGCTTCACACCCTGAGATACATGCTCTTTTTCTCTTCCTTCCTTCCTTCCGATTATCAGTTATTGTTTGCAGATCTCGCTTTTTAAACATCTGAATATGCATAGAAACTGACAAAATGAAAACTAAAAAAAAAGTATTGGCAACACCAGCAGCCTATTTGTTTATTGTAAACACAATCACCTTGCCTAGCTGGATGAACAAATGAATGCCTGGGCTTTGCTCTGTGCAGGACAGGCATGATTTGGTGAAGTGAAGGCACATGAAACCTGGAGGTTTATTCTCTAAAATACATGGTAAAGGCAGTGCAATGTCAAAGAAATGGGAAAAATACATCAAGACGTTCCAATTATTATTGAAATGTAGTAGAGTTCTGATAAGAAAGTACACCTTTTCTGGTGGAACTGGGGCTTGAAAGTACAATTGACACATAGACGTGTTGGAATGATCCCCTACATCAACATCATGAGAATGAAGGTATAGACAATAGCAGCATTAAGAGAAACTCAAGTCACATGGAAAAACTCTACGGGTGCATCGAGCAAATCATTTTCCACCCACTCCACTGTAGCTCTCTACAGTTTCAAGTATGAACCTTTTCCATTAAGAGCTACTTGATCATTTTAAACAGGAAATGCTCAGAGCCAAAGTCTAATCCAGGATGCTCTCTGCCACATAGCTGTGGTCTCAGTAGTAGGCAAGTGAAACAGGCAGACAGTTGGCAGGAATCCATTCCCACAGCCTCTTTGTGACTTCAGATTTATTGAATGAGGATTGTCATGTAGAATAACAACAAGCTGCATATGGAACATACCTAGAAGTCTGCTTGTATAAACAGGTAACAAAGATTCTGCTCTCTCTGTTGACTGTATACGCACCTACCCTGGCAAAAGCATTACCATAAATTTTAAATGGATTTTTTTTTATCAATATCCACAAATAATAAATGATAATTTGAAAGGCAGCCTTACTAACTCACAGTGTTAAATAAACTGAATTTGTTTTGATCTGTAATTAGACCATCTCCCACTAGTTGGTTACAGGAACTTGCAGTATTCTGCAGCGATTATTAATGCAATCCAAACCCATTACCATTATATTTGTCTAAGGATGGTTGGATGACACTAGAAGATACTTCAAGTCACTAATGTGGAAATTTATTTTATTTATTAATCAAACTTATAAACCCATCTCTCTAGATGATTCTAGGTGATACACAATAGATAAAACAGAAAATATAAGAACAGCAATGACAAGATAGTAAATAAATAGCCTAAAAACCCAACATACAAACTCTAAAAGAAGAGAAAATAAAATATAATCCCATCAACAATGAAGCCATCTAGACAAATCTCCAATTTCATGGAAGCCCCAGGCCTTGTCATATAACCAAGTCTTTCCAGAATATTAAAAAGGATGGGGCCAATTTGATTTTAGAGGGGAGGACATA